CCGTCTTATGTTGTACGTCCCTTAAAACAAAAAACTCCTCCAGATTTGCTGATTAATGCTTTTGGCGGTTAATAGCCACTAGTACGCTGGAAGAAGCATACGAACACGAAGCTTCTGAAAACGATTCAACATTGTATATTAAGGTTTCGCGATACTTGTGTCAAAGTATCTACGGATACCTTTGGAAAAAAATAACACCTAATCGTTATTCTTAGCACGTCTAGTGGCCTCAGTATTTGGAGTTTAAGTAAGTGTTTAAATAAAAAAAGAATGAGCTTTTTTAAAAGATTTCGTTAAGAGTATAACTGTTATAAAAACTGTAGACAAGAACTACTATATAAATGTATTTGATATACATCTTATTACAAACACATATGGATGAGCTTAAATGAATTTCACTTTATACAGGCTCGAGAAAAGGTCAACATCTTCGTCCAGACTCGGAGAAAATTGAATAGTCTTCACGCAGACTAGAAAAAAAATGGCATAGTTCTCGTCCGGACTAAAAAAAGGGCATAGTCTTCGTCTGGACGCTAGAAAAAGGCATAGTCTTTCCGAGATCCCAAAAGGGCACAGTTTTCGTCCGGACTAAACAAAAAGGCATAGTTTTCGTCCGAACTCCGAAAAAGAGCATACTCTTCGTTCGGAATCCCAAAAAGGCATAGTTTTCGTTCGGGCTTAGGAAAAGGCCATAGTTTTCGTCCAGGCTTCGAAGCAAGGCATAGTCTTCATCCAGGGCGTCGATGTGTATTAAATAAGACTTTACATAAGCTAAAAACAAATAACAGTACAGACGGCAATTACTAGGCGAAAGTTAGGCCAAGCTGAGCCCTCGTCAGCGCCGTATTACAAATATACTCGAGGCTAGGCTTAGTTTCTTAAGTTAAGCCATGCGATTTAGCTAGGCAGCCCACTTTCATTTGTACTGGAGTGGACTCAAGTGAGTTTGTAATACGGCGCTGACCATAGACATATAAGAAACGTAGACTAATAATCATTAAGTATGGTACTGAAGCGCTAGTAGAAAGAGACTGTGACGTTTTTTCCGCGAATTTACAAAATGCTTCGAAACACACACACACACACACACACACACACACACACACACACACACATATATATATAAACATAGATCGCGTTTAAAAAATACGAATTTGAATGTTTGTAACAAAAGGATAGGGTCGCAAATTTTGTAATACCATCTGTCACGCTTTTCTACGGTATACTTCTCCATATATTCTGATACAAGTTCGTTCATACAAAATCGTGCTACAATACGTATGAGTAAGATGTTTAACCTTCCCAGAAAAATACCCCCATTTGAAAACGATAAGGAAGGAACAGGAATTTGAGTATGGGGACTTGTCAACATCATAACAGGATGATGTATTAATCCTATCTGGAAAGGTTTTGGGAAAACTCCACCCCTCAACTTATCCCCACATCAATACTTACGGTGTACTTTACGATACATAAAAGATGATATCACACGTTATTGACAACGAAAAAATTACGAGTCAACAAAGGAAAATAACGAATATCTTTGAAAAAACACATATCCTTCCGCGACGGTTATCAATTTTAAATCATTGAACGTGAATAAACATAAATATAGAAGTCCGCGTAAAGATTGATATAATGGGCTAGTGCGCGAGCGTAGCAAGAGGCCAAGTCGTAGCACTTGTCAAGCAGAAAAATACTTAATGCTATTGAGAGAAGTATCGTAGTTAATTAAACTGATGTATTTATTATTTACTTTATCTCTCCTGTTTCTTATTTACAGTATTTTTATTTCTATTTATTCTATTTATATAGCACTGAACGTGAGTATCTGTATGTGACTTAGGTGCAGCTTGTCCTGACTTGGCATTACTTTCGTCCAGTAATCGCCATCTTTTGAATGCAGATCAGAAAATGTAACAGATTACCGACAAGCTTTTTTTCGTAAAAGTGTTTAGTTGTCGTGATAACATTTTTTATTCAGTCAGCTGAGTTGATGCATGCATTTAGAATATCATTATATGAGTGCCAACACGATGTTACTGTAAATACCTTACCCATATGTATAAATATGAAATGCACAGCACTCGCTTAGCTAATCAATCAAAAAACGCATTCATGAGCACTAAAGGAAGTTGTCTACCTTTGATGGAGGATAAAAGAGAGAGAGAGAGAGAGAGAGAGAGCGAGATTGATTGATTGAAACACGTTTATTATGCCAAGGACCTACATGATCCGTATGGCAAAAGCAATATTTGTACATTTGTGACTTATAAATATAAAAGTAGAAAATGTATACATATGTAAATTCAGTGAAATATATAAGGTAACAAAACAGTAAAATTTAATAGAGAGAGAGAGAGAGAGATTAGATTAGATTAGATTAGATTAGATTAGATTTTTATTGAATTATATAGCTAAGGACTCAGGGTCCATAATAGCCAGAGCTAGGTACAAGCTGACATAGGTTAGAGCAGGTAGCGCTCTAATACATAAAATTGCTTATAACTTAAATATATATAATATAAAGAATAAATACTTAAATTAAGTAATAGTAATAAATAATAGTAGTTATAAGATATAACAAATTTGTTAGAGAAAAGTAAAGTAAAAAGAAAACATTACAAAAATATTACAAAAAATAAAAACTAATAGGTCATACGTAGACTATTGTGGTAGTAAAATACTAATAGCTGAGATCACTGGTCCTCGATATCACAGGCACACATAAAAAACACAGATGCTTATCTAATCTAAATAATTAGGTCGATCAAGAAGAAGCTCGTAGAGCTTGCTGCCAAAACAAGGTCTCGCAAAACACGCCTGGATGCCAGTCGGTAGCTTGTTCCAGAGCTTTAACGCACCCACTCTAAAAGCAGCTATGTAGAAGTCAATCCTTGCTGAGGGCACATTCAGATCCAGAGGAGACGTTCTTACACCTGTTCTTTCTGGGATCTTGAACTTTAGGTAATTCGCAAGATATGCCGGCTGTCTTGATTTCAGCATAGTGGATAGAAAGCGCAGAGTAAGATATTTGATTCGTACATCATATGCCAATAACTTAAAGCGTCGATAGGTAGGTGATATGTGGTCGGATTTCTTGATGCCTACCACGAACCGCAAAGCTGCATTCATACACCTACTTAGCTTAGTTTTTAATTCACTAGACAAACCAAGCTGCAAAGCAGGGCAGTACTCGAGAATAGAGAAGACTAAC